TGACCCACATGGTGGAGCAGACCTCTCCTGACCGGATCCGCTGCTCCCCTCAGCAGTCTATTTCAGTCCATCTGCCTGTTCTGCTCCCCACTCTGTCTCTGGTGAGTCCTCTCACCCCTCACCTCTGTCCTATACCCCAGTTCTTGTTTGCACAAATAAATTTTTAAATCTTTTAAAACAGTATTATTATTTTTGACAGGTAATACTAGGTTTCCACCAGAAGTAGTGATAAGTTTTACCCTAAAATGCATGTCAGTCAACCGTATATTTAGAGAAAATAATACTACACATGGCACCTGAATATGGTAGAAATTGTGAAAGATAGAATTTCTAGTCAAAGAAGTATGTTAAGACCAACACCAGGTTTGTACTAAATAAATATTTCCATTAATCAAAAGGAAAAAAAAACAAACAAACAAACTCAAAGGACATAAATCATGCCAATAGCCTTATCAAACAAATAGGACCAAGTTAACCCAACTCAAGTATTTTTCTCACTTGCTTAAAATGAACAGTTGACGTTAGCAAAAATAAAAACATTTAATGCAGTGCCTGATGCCTCAAGTGATCTTTGCTATTCTTTCTAATAAGGAAGAAGTCCAGTTGAAGAAGGGTTCATTCGAATTTGTGAAAGTATTTCTTTTTCTTCTTAAGATTTATTATATGTATTTATGCAAACAAGAACTGGGTTATAGGCCAGACATGCAAGGTATGAAAGGATTCACTAGAGACAGAGTGGGGAGCAGAACTGGTAGATTTGGTGAAATATACTGCTTATTTTCCAAGTAGATAGCTACAAATTTCCCATTGTATGAAAAAAATTACTTAAAAAGTTGAGGTATGGTGTAGCAAATCTTATGTTCTTTGATATGTAAACATCCAGAAATTTTCACCAATTTTTAAAATTTTATTTTTATTTATTTATGCATCCAAGAGCTGGGTTTTGAGCAGAAGTATGGAGGGGAGGTGAGAGGATTCATCAGAGACAGAGTGGGAGCAGAACAGGCAGATTGACTAAAATACACTACTGAGGGGAGCAGCAAGCAAGACAGGAGAGGTCTGCTGTGCCAGCCATATGGGTCAGCTCAGGCCCCAGGGACCGAACCCATGACACAGTGGCTATTGATAGCTTCATAGCTGATACTTAATCCCTTGTACCACCACGAAGGCCTCTTCACCTATTTTAACATATAAACCATTTCAGCACCCTAAATGCCTCCCCTCTGATATTTTTTTTCCCTGTGATATATTTTTAACAATAAATTCATTATCTGTCTCAACCAATTTTTGGTTAAGTTAGAATGCAAGCAAGAATTCTGGTTTCTGCCACTTCATAGTTATCACATTGAGTCTTGCTGAGTCAAAATGAACACTGGACAAGGAAAAGAGCAGAAGAGCATTCCTCTTTGTATCAAAGTCCTCAGGTAACACCCAACTTAGGAGGAACTGTTTCAATTAAACATGATACAATTTTACCACTATCCCAGCATCTAAAAATTGATGGTTTTTTTTTTTTGAGTTATAAAATCCTAATTGTCCAAGTCTTCAGTGATCTAAACTCTTCTCTGGTACCATAATACTCCTAAATATGTTGCTCCAGTGTTCCTACTCTAAAGCTACACCATCTGAGATTTTCCAAAATCAGCTATGATCTATCTGTGCAAAGAAATTTTTTAAATAAGGATCTTGTTTAGGTCTCTATAAAGACTTCTCGTTTTCTTATGCTTGCAGTGACATATTTGATGACATCTTTAATCTTCAATTTCCTTACTCCTTCCTTTCATAGCTTATGGCAGATTATTTTGGCTTCCACTTTAAAATAAATCTCCAAATAACCTTTTTTTAAAAAAAAATTATTTATGCATACAAGAACTGGGTTGCAGGCTGGGAGTGGGGGGGTGGTGGTGAGAAGATTCCCCAGAGACAGTGAAGAACAGAACAGGCAAATTGACTGAAATACACTGCGGAGAAGAGAGCTGGTGAGACAGGAGAGATCTACATGTGGGTCACCTCCCTGTCTGGGGATTGAACTCGTGTTGCAGTGGCTGCCAATAGCTTCACAGAGCTGTGCTTTAAACCCTTATGCCACCAGGGAGGGCCCCAAATAGCCATTTCTTACCAACTTTATTGCTTCTTCCCTAATCAATATCACCCTTTTTCTTGCCCGTATTACTATGTGCTAAAAGATAAAAGGTAAGTACCTTTGAAGTTTTCAAGGAAAAATGAGTTTGAACCATGAACTGGATGTCCAATAAAAATGAAGTGTGGGAAAGAAATAAAGGCCTCATCAGACATAGAAGTACTCAAATCTACCTCTAATGCACCACTTAGGGGATTAGAGAGTTACTAATAAATGTACTTCAGCAAATGAACCAAAAAAGAAATAAAAATGAAAAACAAAACTGAAATCAAGAAAGAGTGGGAAAAAAAAAAAGTAGACCACAAGAGTACAAAGAAAATAGATCCCAGGGTGATAGCTAAAAAACCACTTGCTATGAGTTTGATAAAGATGATTCATTCAGAAACTTATAATTTCAGAGTTATAATGAAGAAGATACTTTTCTTTCATTAAAGAAAAATAAAGGCAAAAATAAAGGATAAAAGCATTTTGAACAAATTTGGTAATTCAGTACTATAACAAAGAAAGTTTTATAGTGATAAAATAAAGCAATTATTTACTCGAAAAATAAAAGTTGTGAAAGTCATAACCCAATTATGAAGGAAAAAACACATGGCATGACTTGAAAGAAGCTGATAGCTATAAAGTATTCAACCTTTAACTGGGAATATTCTGCTTAATTCTACATTGATCTAAGGATATAAAGTTGGATATTTAGGAGTCAAAATCACCTGGTTTACCTGTAATCCAGTATATGACTGCTAGTGCTGAAATCGCAGTTTCTAGAATCAGTACACAAAGGAAAAACACATAGTTTCCCTAAATAATATGCACTAATTAATAGTAATTATATACACAAATAGTACATCCTGGTAACTTAAAAAAGAAGTTAGTAGATAAAGAGCACTAATGAGTGAAAATGAAGTCACAGGTTTGATCAGTTCTGCAATGGTAAGGATAATGTTTAAAATCCAGATTAAGGGCCTCCTTGGTGGGCCCAGCAGCTACTGAAGCATGAGTTCCATCTCCAGTCAGGGAGATAACTCAGAGGGCGCAGCAGACCTCTCCTGACCTGCCCACTGCTTCCCCTCAGCAGTGCATTTCAGTAAATCCGCCTGTTCTGCTCCCCACTGTGTCTCTATTGAATCTTTCACTACCCCACCCCCACACCACTGGCCTACACCCTGGCTCTTATATGCAAAAATAAATAAATCTTTTCAAATAAATAAATCAGTGGATCAAGAAATAAGCATTGTTACAGTTAATAAATGAAGCAAAAAGAATTAAAAACATAAAATGGGAGCAATGGAGTGAAATCAGTTGCTCATCTTTTGTGATGGGCAACTAATAGATACTGCTTAAATGACAAGTTAAAAACAGCAGTAAGAAACCAACAATGATGGAAGAAGCTGCCTGAAGAATAAAAAATGGTCAATACTCCTGTGAGGTGAGATGCATGTGGATGGCAGGGAGAGCACTTTCTCTTTTTGTTTTTTTTTAAATATTTATCTATACATACGAATTGGGGGACAGGCCAGAGGTGCAGGAGCAGTGAGAGGATTCACCAGAGACAGAGTGGGGAGCAGAACAGGCAGACTGATGAAGTACACTGAAGAGCTGAGCCTTGGGTGAGACAGGAGAGGTCTGCTGTGCCATGTGGATCATCGCTTGGGTTGGGGATTGAACTCACACTGAGGTGGCTGCTGCCAGCTTGCAGTGCTGCGCCACCAGGGAGGCCCTCACTTTTTATCTTTAACCATATGAGCTGTTTAAAATTTTTAGTCAGGTATATATACTAAAAAAATTTTTTTAATCCTAAGTTACTAGGGCTGGCAGGCTCAGATATGAAAGATAATTGACAGTCTAGTAATATAGGAAGACACCAGAAAATTATAAAAAGCAGGTATAAAAGACCAAAAGGATTTAAAGTAAATGGTTATTTCAAATAAGAGCATTTGAACTTACTGAGCACTACTGAATACAGTAGTCAATAAGAGTTTTATATTATGACTCAGTAATTCAGAAGACAAAAACTATTTAGTAAATAGGCAGAGATTAACTTTAAAACTATCCCCATCCAGATAAAACAAGCTAAGTTAGCTCTTGAAGTATTTCACATTCTGAAAAATTCAATTTGGAACAAAACTTGATATTACACATGTTTATAGATAACAGAGTTTAACACCTCTGTTTATGAAGAATGGCATTAAAATAAATGATCATGACAATATTATGATAAAAAGAAGCATGACACCATAGTTATTACATTTTAATAAAACTTTTACATTTCTGGACAACTTAATTCATACAATATATATAACATAGCCAAGAAAGGAAGACAGCTGTGATAGTCTCCTGCAACACATTTATCTTTCTTTTGACTGTTTCTTCAATGGCGGAACCTATTACTTATCTTCTGAATTATTATTCAAAGAGACACACCTGATTTTTTTAACAACTGAATTTTCAAATTAAATAATAATGTGTTTCATTTTACCAATATATATTGCATAGAAATCATTAAATACCTTGACATTTAAAAAACATCAACAGGTCAGTTTTTTAATAGCTGCTACATCTTTATGTTGGCAATGCAAATATTATTCGTATTTTAAAATTATAATTCTGTAAGTACAAAACTTAAAAAAATACATTCCCATTTCATTAAAAAAAGCTTCTAAATTTACATTTTCAAACACTGCTATCATTGCTATGATGACCCTCTTGTAGATAAACTTAGCCAAAATAATTTAATTTTTAAAAAGCAATACCATGTTAGTACACTGGCAAGATTTCTTTAGAAAAAAATGAGGGCAATTATAAAGTCAATATTATAAATGCACTACTACAAATAAATATGTTTAAAGTGTAATTACTTTGTTTTAAAAAGCAGAATACAGAAAGGCATAGAAAATGTGAAAAAAAAATTTAATCAAAATCACCAGTGCAAAAATCTGGGCACTTAATCCCTTAAGAAACTAGAGGATTTTAATTTAAAAGATGACTTTTCACTGGGGATATTGAGATTTCCTATGAACCAGAAAAATGTCTATTATTTCTATTCAATGCTTATAGAGTTTTGTTCAAGTGTTTCTTATAACTCCTCCTTTAACTTAAGTGTTCTTTCCCTGAAAAAGATATTTTTAAGCTTATCATTTTGGCCTCATGACACATATACTTTAAAGATACATGTGATTCTGCAGTCAACCCCTCCTGCATTCTAAAACCTATATATATCTATGTACTTATAAATATATACATATTTTCAGGATTACAAAAATATTTATTTTTATAAGCTTAAATAATTACTGTTAATACAGAATACATTAATATTTGTATAACTTTACTTTTCTTTATATAAAAAGTTTTCTCATAGCAGCATTTGCATTGCAAATGAAATGTGGCTGCAGTAGTGTAAGTGATGTTGCAGTAGACGTGGGCACAGACTGCGGCAGAGATGCCCAGACCACTGGACCATCCTCTAAAAGGCATGGTGGTTCCGCTACAGTAGAGCAGTTCCTGTAAAGTACAAAAAGCTTGAGAGCCTAATAAGTTATCCAAACCTTAGAAGTGCATTTAAAAACTTTCTCTACAGAAATGGCAAGACTTATTAAATATCCACAAAAAGTCCAAATTATCCTTACCCTCAGAAAAAATTTCCTTGTAAGTAAAAATTATATTAGGCTAGTATTTTTAATTGAATTACACGAGTCTGTTAGAAATTAGTTGAAGATTTTAAAACAACAAAAACACACTGTGAGAGGTGTAAGAAATTGACTTACTTAAGTCACTATAAGTAAGCAAATAAAGATTCTTAATCTCAAACACTCATATTAAGCTTGTTTTTGTTGAGCTCACGTTCTAGATTTCCAATCAAAGTATCAATACTCTCTTGAAGATCTCTGAGATTAACTTTGCGATCCACGGTAGACTCAATTGTCTGCATTGTCAAATACGTCTGAAATGTGCACTCTTTAGACATGGGAATTGGCTGTTCTATCATTATATCTGGTCCATACATTTTGCTACAATTTTCTCCATCTTCTGAAGGTACATCATCATAATCCACATCATTTAAATTTTCCTTTGTAGTATTTAAAAAGTAGTTTTCTCCACAGCTGCTCCAGTCTCCTGCATAACGATTGCTCAGTGGACTGTCTAATCTGGTTTGCCTTGGTCTAAGAACACTTGATGATTCGGTACCGCTCAAATTTAACAAGTAGGGTCGATCCTTCTTTTGCCTCAAATAATTTAGAGAAGACTTCTGCTCTGGGAACAAATTGTCTGTTGATTCTTTGACAGAAACGCATTGCACTAAAAACAAACAACACACTTGCTTTAGTGACAGTTAATATTGGCCTTAAAAAAATAAAGATAAACCCTTTAATAATCAATTACAAACATGCATTAAAACAAAAACATGCACGCTATCAAAAAGAGCATTCCATAATTTTTTTTTCCTACACCAGACATAAATTAAGATTAGGGACAAGAGCCAAAATGTCCAGTGGTGCTAATTCATGCTATATCCCCAAAACAAGTCAAATTTTGAACACTGATTAATTTTTTGTGCAAGTTAATTGTTATCAACTAGCTATAACTGAAACAAGCTAAGCTGATAGCTTCCTCTAAATTAAAAGCTACAGCAAAAGCAGGCCAAGGCATGTTGGTGTCGAAACAAAGAAAGAAAAAGTTCCTGTTGTCTGCAAACATCTACAATGAGGCAAAGGCATTTAAAGTGACCATAAATAGTTATGACCTTGGTGGTTATAAGCAGCAGTGTCATAATTTACCAAGCAGCCCAAATTTCACTTGGATGAAATGCATTAATACTAGACTTGCCCACTTGTTACCTGAGTTTGATTATACAGCATTAGTTACTAATAGTCTTCATTTATTACCTGAAAACAGTACAGATATTTTATTTTCCCATTCTGATTAAGAATCTATCAGTTGCAAATTCATTCCTCTTATTAAGACTGCTTTCTTCTAAGAATGCATTGTGGTGGTACTATTGTAGAGCATGAAGACATGTTACTATATATAGAAAATAAGGTTTTACAGCTAACTCTTTTGTGTATATTGAACAAAACATTTTTTCTAAGGAGCTTCCATATATAAAATGAACAATTTAAATGTGAGGTACAAGTATCAAAAACTTTTCATTTTGTCCTTGTTATTCTCTATGAGTTACTGCCTCTTGATACTTCACTAGTTATAGGAAACTGTAGTACAATAATTTTATACTTTTGTACATTAACTTTATAATGAATATTTCCTTGTACAAAGTAAGATAAATGAAAAATAATAAAACGTGCATATGGTTCAGTTCTCTCAGTTACAGTGATAACATTTTTCAGAGGTCACATAATATTGTTTCACTTAGATCTCATTAAAATACTTGTTAATTGTATATAGGTAGATTTTCAACATGTCTATGTATCCATAATTCTATGACGGCTATTATATAATATTAAACATAGTTAAAAGCTCTTGTTCTAACATTTTCTGGAAAACAAAGGTTGATATAAACTTCGTTTTGATCTTTAATATCAGTATCAATATAGAATGTTCCATGTTATTTACTGATACAATTGCAGAATGGATATCTGAATTTTTCCATTGTTTAATTTTCACATTCCTTTCCTCCTTCAGCTGCTTATCTTTATTAAGTCTCCTTGTTTCTCTCTCTTCATTTTCTGTAATATTTCTGTCCTTTGTGATTAAGTGTCATGCCTATTGTTTTCCCTATCACAGTACTCAATCTTGAGGTCATCTGCTTTCTGAGCCAACCAAAGCCAAACATTTTTTAACTAAGTTTGAGGCTTACCTTATTGAGCCTACATTTTTTGACATTCATCAGCAAAATTCAGATTCAGTTTTGCTGCCAGTTTTTTAAATTGTTTAATCAATAACTAATCAATAACCAACATTATTTTTGTATATTTTCTTGGAAAATATTTAATAAACAAATTAAATTGCTATCTTGTTTCAATTCAGACTAAAAATTTAGTTTTTGCAAAATTAATATCACAGGATTTTTAAGCTACTAAAAGTAGAATGGTTTCCTATTACATATGTAGAAGAAATGGCTAATTTTAATCTCAAAATATCTGGTTTTCCCAGCACTGTTGACTTCAACAGAATAAAATTAAAACTGAGGACCCCCTGGTGGCACAACCAGTTTAAGCGAAGCACTAGCCATAGATGCCTCAGCATGAGTTTGATTCCTGGCCAGGGATGTGACCCACATGGCACACTGCTCCCCTCAGCAGTGTACTTCATCAATCTGCCTGCTTGGCTCCCTACTCTGTCTGTGGTGAATCCTCTCACCACCCCTGCACCTCTGGCCTGTACCCCAGTTCTATATGATAAATAAATATTTTAGAAAAATAAAATTAAACATGCAGTCTATGAAGTTGCCAAGAGTTTCCCAATGTAGTAAGTACTAAGAACCTTAATTTTATGTTGTTTTTAACAAATTCTCCATCTTTTATCTATAATGTACCTATCATGTTTAACAAATGACAGTGAATGTCTAGTTGGTGCTCTGTTCTGCTGAGACCTGGGAATAAAAGGATGAGTAAAATATCGTCTCCGAACTGCTGGTGGGAATGCAAACTAGTACAACCACTATGGAAAACTGTCTGGAGGTTCCTCAAGCTGCTAAACATGGAGCTTCCCTACGACCCAGCAACCCCACTCCTAGGTATCTATCCAAAAGACACAAAAACACTGATTGAAAAA